TTGAAAATAGCTGTGCTGCAGTTGTTTCTGGATAAATGACCATTCTGCCCCGGTATTGTATTGCTGTTTGCAACATGACTGTCATAATAATATAATTTATACTTTAAAAGCAAAAATCCACTATAAAACAATATCAAAAAAATATACACCCCACTTAACAGTGAATATCACGATTACAAGAATTAATAAAACTTAAAATCATATTATTTTAAAATACAGATGATGCATGTCAGGAGCTAAGCCGTCCTCTAAGGATATTCTTCATGCCTGATCATTCTCGGTGGTGGAATCTTTCAGCCTATTCGCCCACCGAAAAAAGTCGCAGTCCTCCGTGATTCTCTGCGGGCGCCTATAAAACTGTCTCCCGTAGCTATGTGACTGACGTGATGTTAACAAGGAACACTGAAGTTCATAGTGACACTGCAATTCTCGGGCGGTTCCGGAATTCCTTGAGTTCATGTATCTTGAATGCTTTAAAAGACATCCCATTATACGTAGCACGTGCACAAATTGATAAAATAAGTAATTAATTACAGTTTTATGCAGGTGTGGGTTCTCAGAGAACTCAGCACACCAACCAACGAATCTGTCATTACAAGAAAACAACATATTTTATAAAAAATGTTCTTGGTTGCCTTTAACCCACATAATACCAAACTCGTGTTTGTCACATATGCATATCACAAAAAAAAAACATCCAGAAAAACCTAAAAAAATAGTAGCACTGAAAAGAAGAGAAGAACTCAGTTGCTTTCATTAGGATTTTACATGTGACATGAACCAACAGACAATCTAGAAGAATTCTTATGGTCAAACGTCTCATCATACCCACCAAAATAAAAACAAAAGAATTATGAATGGAAAAAACACTTACAAACAATGCGAGGAGTGATGAAATCGCTTAATTGCTCCTCACATTATTAATTCATTATACGATAATATGTAAAGGTTTACCGCTAACACCTCTCGCGAAGTCATTCTGGACGAGCCATGAAGTCCATGATTTTTGTGTAATTCCTCAAACAGATCGTTGAATATCACCTGTATCATGTGGAACTTATTGTGAAATCTCATTGGGTGATCCACAAGCAACTCACCAACCCATTTGTTAGTAGCATATGAGGATGTCATAAAAGAGCAGTGCTTTATGTACAAGCTATAATATTCATACATCAAGCAAATATAACTACAACTCTTTTTTTGCGTCTTTCTCTGGTTGCATCAATGTATATCGGTATCGAAGTGGCTACGCATAAGCATCAATGAATTAACTATAATCATCTAAGGTTACGAATAACACAATAAAAATATAAACATCAATGAATAAGCATATAAGACATGTTTCAAGCAGTTTAAATATCCAAAGTAAAATAAAAAACAATAAACAAATATAAATGTCTCATGCGATTATAAGTAAAAAAAATCTCTCAAATATTTTTGCGCTCATAAAAATATTGTAAGTACGCCACCCTGCGATCATTGGACATCTTGATAAAAAAATCTCTCTTAGCCGAATCTTCAAGCAATTCCATTGCAAGCAAGTACAATGACAAGTTAGAAATTTTTGGAGCTGCATTCAAAATTTGCAGAACTCGGTCGACAAAAGTTGCTTGAGATGTGTTGGGTTCATTGCTGTATGAAGCCACCAGCTGTGATATCTGGCTTTTAAGAAAAGAAGCTCCCATTTTCTTTTTATTTTCAACCCGCAGATGCTTAGAACTACACATGAACTTAATTTCATGGAGCTCTGGGCTGGGGCCTTCAGTGGAATCACCCGATTGGTCGACTCCAAAATTTTCGGGAATGCCACCAAGCTCTATCTCTCTGGGGTCACATGCATTTTTGCCTGTTGTCATGACACCCCAAACATTCGATTCAACTTCTCCTCCAACTCAGGATCGATTCCACCATATTTAAATTTTTTCGGAGCAAACACTACCTACAAATTCTTATAATTTCTAGTTTAATTTAAAAATAAATTAAAAATTGTCCAAATTAGGGGCATTTAAAAATGCTTACCGCAAGTCTTTCTACACACTACTCATCGAAAATATTAATCGTTCGCTTCATCGAATCCCACCCCAAGCTCATTGACTCTTATTCCAATTCTTACTAGAATTTTCAATCATTCTTTGAGCTCATCCCACTTGTTTTTTAATTGCATCATGTTGTACTCTCCGTATGTATTTTTTTTGAATTTTTTTATAATATTCTGCCACCCATCCTTGTTGAAATAGGTTGTAAGCTTTTTTCCCAGATCAATCTTATTCAGACAAATGTCACAAAATATTATGTTTGTTTCTTTATCCCACATTGCAGATGAACTAGTTTTTTTGGTCTTAATCATTGTATTATTGGGATGAAAAAAACTAATTAACATAAATAGGATTGTCACAATATCGCAAATTAAAGAAAAACCGTAATGTCGCAGCATCCACACCAACACATCCACAAACTACACTACCATCTCCACATCCATACACCACCACCTCCTCATCACATAACCACCCTACACCTCCACCTCCACACTACAAACCTCCACCTCCACACCACACCACACCACTCTCCTACACCACCACCTCCACACCACATCAATTCTCCTACAACACCACCTCCACACCTCATCAACACATCCACACACCACTACCTCCACACCTCATCAACACATCCACACACCACTACCTCTACACCACACAATCATCTGACACCAACTCATCCACACACCACCACCTCCACACCACAACAACTCTCCTACACTACCTCCACTGGAATTGAAAATAGCAATATGAAAATCCAACACAAAATTCCCGTTATTTCAGTGGTATACAAATCTAGCATGGAATTTTAGTGAAGCGCCCTCTGAAATTTCCTCTGTAAATAGAAATATACATCCAATTTTCTCACTAAAATTCCAGTAAAATTAAAAATAGCGACATACATATCCAGCATGAAATTCCCATTGAAATTCAGAATTCATGTTTCCAGCCCATATTAAACAACACATACACATCACCCTAAACATTATTTTTAACAAATCGAGCACCAAATTCCACCCAATTTTCAAATTCCCAGCTGAAATATCAAAGTTCATGAAGAAATTCAAATTCCCCACAGCATAAGCACCAAAAGAAATCGAACTGATCATATACAGGGCACCCGAAGCATTGCTAACAGGATAAGCACAAAAAAATCTAAAGATCACCGCAAAGCTCAGATACATCCAAAATTGCATGAAATACATAAACCAAAAACCCGTATGGATGCAACATGAAGCATCAAACTGAAAACCACCAAAATCGAGCAAACAAAAATGAAGCCAACCAGCATAATGTGCACAGCCACACAGAGAAGGGAGAAAAAAGGTGAAGAACAGAGAAGACATGTAGAAGAGGGAACACAACACAGATTCGGTGATGCGCATGACCACTAAACCGAGCCAGAGAAGAAAAGGGAGAGGGGAACATACAAGCCTCAATGCAGTAATCACCAACCGAAGAAAGTGATGTACCAAACTGAAGGACTTTCTCCACCACACAGAGCACAGAGTGCACAAATCACTAAAATTCGAGCGAAAGAAAAGCGGGGAGAGGTAGAAGAATTAATGGTCACCGAAACAACCATTCGCAACCAAAAATAAACAACTGTAAACAACGCCTAGCCACCGGAGCTACAGATCCACGAGAGAGAGATATTTAGGGCAGAAGATTCGCAGGAGAGAGAGCGGGGTCGAGAGAGACGAGAAGAGGGGCCTTAGGGTAATTGAACCCGCGGTCGAGACAAAAGAAATGTGGGTTGAGGGGTCAAACCTGCGACTGCGTTTTAACAAATTATTTTAAAAATACCGCCACGACATGAAAACCAGATGCCACAAATCACAGTCTGTCGCCGGGCCGCTTGAATTCAGCCGTGCCAAACGGACCCTAAATGAGTTGGGATGCTCTACTGTCAATCTCATGAAGATGTTTTGTGACAGGCGAAGCCGCAATGAGTAGTGCAAAGAATCTCATGAATCATGATAAGGGCTGAGCACATTGAGATTGATAGACATATTATCTCTGAAAAGGTCAATGGAGGCATTGTTTAATCTTCATTCCAACTCATCGTCAAGTAGTTGATGTCTTCATGAAATCTCTACCTTCCAGGCAGCTTCACTCATCTGAATACCAAGTTGGGACTTTACAACATCTATGACCAAGCTTGAGGGTGTGTGAATATCTGAGCTTCCTTTTTTAGTTTTATTCCATCCTTATTATGTTATATTTCTTTCTTTCTTGAGTTGTATTTTGTTTAGTAAGTTGTAATTGTCGTATTATTCGTTTCCTAACCTTTCCTTATTATATAATAAGAAGAGTTGTAATTTGATTATTGAGAAATAAAAGAGTACGATTTTCTCCACCTTTCTACACATCTAATCTCTAAAGTTGTATTTTGTTTAGTAAGTTTTAGAAAGAGTATTGATTGTCTGCTGGTTCAAATAGTTTTTGTTGTTTGGTTGCAATCTTTTAGTTTTCTTCGATTCCTATTCACTAATGTTACGAGCAGTTCTACGGTTTTACTTTTTCAAGTCTGAGTAGGATTTGTTTGGTTTGACTTTTTGATACTCTTTGATTAGCTATCTGTTTTGCCATGAGTGAAGTTCACTGCTTTATTTACGGTAAAATGGGTGCAAAAGAGATCTGCAAACAATAAATCCAAATTAAACAAAATTGAACCAGGGTGCTTCTATCACTTTCCTCTTGTTTTTGCTTGTTTTTCTATGTATGTTGATGCTGCTTTGGCGGGTCTTTATTTTGTTCGTTGTCTTCTTGTCTGAAAGCTTGCATATACAGCTTCTGATACTCATTTTATTTCTTTAAATGTGATTCTAACTATTTATAGTATATGAATTTTATGTTCAGGCATTTTGATGTGTATGCTTTTAAGAAACTTTGATGTTTTCTGCTGCATTATTATTTTGAATTTTACAGTTTGTTTTTTTTCCCAATCTATGTCCTTTGCAGAGATTTGTTTGAGGCATATATTTTGCTATACTCTGTCATCACAGAGAAAAAAAGTGCTGTCTGTCAAGAGCCACAAGTGTAGCATGCAATGCTTTGTTTTGTCAGCTACATTAGTTTTTTGTTAAGGTTTTCACAATGCCTGACACAAATTCAATCACTGATAGTGGAAGTCATCCAGCAGCTAAGAGAAGCCTTCCTTCTTGGATGAGCTCTAATGAAAACAGGAGCAAATCCCAAAAGAAGCGGAATGATGCTACTGAAATAATGCCAAAAAGTGATAAGGAGAACTACACTGCTATTTCATACGATGATAGGCAAAATAACTTGGAGTTTTCAAAACTCCTGGTAAGAAGCAAGATATCTGACAGTAGAGGAAAAATTTAAAACCATTAGCAGGGATACATTTTATGTAAGCTTGTACCTTCTTAACTTAAATATGAAATGAATTACCTGAAAATTTTCATATTTTCTTGGATAGGAAGGGGTGGTTTTTGTTTTATCTGGCTTTGTTAACCCAGAGCGAAGCACATTAAGAGCACAAGCAGCGGAAATGGGAGCAGAGTATCAACCGGACTGGACCTCAGGTTGTACCCTTCTTATATGCGCATTTCCGAACACTCCTAAATTTAGGCAAGTAGAGAACGATCAAGGTACTATTGTCTCAAAGGTATTTAGTCTTTGTCTCATCTTAATAGTATATCTCTTTCATGTATTCTGCTATCATTGCTTTTTGAAATCCTAAAATGGCCTATTTCGTGACAAGAAGTTCTTAGAATACGTTATAATTTCTTTTGTTTCTTATTTCAATGTTAATATTTTTAGGAATGGATATTCGAGTGCTATAACCACAAAAAGCTTGTTGACATTGAGCGCTACCTCATGCATGTTGGAAAACCATGGAGAAGATATACTGAGCAAAATCAGCCTAATAAAGGTAGTAGCATTGTTAATCTGGTTGGCTTGTCATTTTGACTGCTATGTACAGTCTGGTTTTGGTTCTCTCAATTTGTGCCTGAGATTTTTTTGTCTGCTAACAATTCTCATGGAAGTGTGGAACTGATTAGACATTTTTGGCTGTACAGTTAGCTCTCTGATTGGATTATGCATCTAATGTCTAGTTTTATGTCCTAAATCATCGTGGTTGCAGTTTTTATAGCATCAAAAACTTGCAATGCTTTCCTTTTATATGCATTTCTGGGAGTGAGGACCTTAAACTAAAGGACATTGAGGTGGCTCGTCATGATAGGCATATAATGCGTGCAGAATTCCTGACAATGGAAGAAAAATAGAAATTATTAAAAAAATATATTTTATCATGTTCGTGGTAAAGAGATTTTCTTTATGAGAAAGTGTTAGATAATCATTATTAAATATTAGAATTTTCCCACCTTGTATTTTGTCATTGCTATTTTTTTTTGTTTATAGGTCCAACCTTGAACTATATTATCACACAGAGCCTGGCATTCATTGTACTTATCTTCTCGCCCAATTTATCTCATAAATTGGTTGTGGTGATGGAGATCTTTAATTCTCCAGTCAATCATGGATGTGTTCTTATGCCTTTAGCTTTTGGTTTTTCTCTATGAAAAACTTTTGGATTTCGTGATTAAGAAAAAATTTAGTTTCTATAACATTGACAAACTTAGCAAGCAGACATAACATCTTTAACTGGGTTTTATCACTAACCCATATGGCTTTCCCCTTTTTGGCAGCCATGTCGCCGCCATCAATTGCTATCTCATCAGCCCCAGGCTCGTACCATTTACTTTACACCCTTTAGTACCAATTCTCATTTTTTGAATATTTCTCTTTTTTAGTAATGGTTGCCATTACTAATCGACATTACTTCTTGATCTGTCTTGGAGATAAATGTCTGGAGATCAACTTTGGCTGAAACTCTTCATCCTGCTGCTGAATGGCACTAGAAATAATGCTTGTGCTTTTTTATTTGACGTACCTTAAGGAAAGACTAGCAAAATTAAGTTTACTGGTCTATGACAGGTCATAGGATATCAGGATAACCCTCATTCAGTGATAACTTTTAAGTTATTACTCTTTGTGGTAGATCTCAGATGGACTTACCCTTAAATAAAAGAATGATGCATGAACAAGAAAAACCAATTTGTTAAAATTTGAAAATTTAAGCCAACGGGATTCATTGATTTTCAAGCAATTGGGGATGTACTGACCATGTCATCCATGTTTTCCCAATGCACTCTTCCTGACGTTTTCATTTTCCCAATCTTTTTTATTTTAATCTACCAATTACTCATTCATGTATCAAGGTTTTGTGTTGAGTTTTCTTTTATTGAAACTGATGCAGGGCATATTCGGGATCTCAGGATTCCTAATGCAATTAAATGATGCAGTAATAAACGATCACATAAAGCAACTAGTCAGATTTGGGATTTGCTGTTTCGAAGTTACCAAGTGAAACAATAACTCATTTTTATTTGGTTTAAGAAAAATTTAGACCAAGTACTAATTTATTGATCATTTAAACTAAAAAAATTGCGATGAAGTTAAAATCACTAAAAAATCTGTAATAGATTGGAATTCACACCACAATCAAAAATCTATTTGTAACATGTCTGACTAAAACCACAATGCACGAAAATGCCATTTGCGAATTACATAGAAGAAAGAAGGATTAGGAATTATCACTCTTTAGAAAATTCAGGTTTTATATTGGTACAAGAAAATGACTTCCCTTGAGATTTACATCACACTTGCACCACACTTAAAAGAATCAATATCAAACTAAACACACAAATTTGAAATTCATTCATCACAGTTAGCTCTCTAATAGTTGCCTAAAATACTAATATATACAACACAAGACCCCTAAAGTCATCAAATGCAAAAGTTCTTCCATTAAAATCCCAAAAAAATGTGGATCCCATCAAAGTAATGGAATTTTGAATTGTCAAAGATAAGTCTTGTTAGCACCAAAACCGGAGGATTCACCCAAGAACATGAGAAAAATTGGCATAATATTTGCAAAGCCTTACACTCTCTGTAGGAACCACACGACCTGTAGGAGCTGAAGGCAAAGCTCTGCCAAAAGCATATACCAGTAGTAACAGTACGCTTGCTTCATGATTATCACATCAAAAACCCTTTTGATAAGAACTCGGGTTGCTTTTGAATGTCTACAAATATCAATGCAAAGTTTTTTTGATGCATTCTTTCTCTTATTTATTTCTGATGCATGCTTTTGCCTTTATGCACTACAAAGCTCGAGGAAAAGATCAAGGGTATTGCATTTAGGATTTTCTCTCCTAGAATAATTTTAATGATACCTTATGTCGTTCTAAAGTTACGAGATGGCCAATTCTTACAAGCTTTATGTGCTTGCAGTTCAGGGAAATGTCTTATCTGCAGAGCCTATAAAAAGAGCTGAAAAGAGTTCATTGACGGTGACTGGTTCTCAATCTTCCGAGGTTAGTCTAAATAATAGTAAGATATCTCAAAGAATGCTCCACAGCTTGTTATTTCTCTTAATCTGTTGTTGGTCTGAAACATTATTTAGACAAAGTATATTGATTTTAATTATTGATAGGGATTTTTACATCCCTAACACAGAAAATACCTTATATTACCTATCTAACACCTAAAGTTTACATATTACTAAACTACCACCCAAAATCCTATTCTCCCAAATTTATAACCACTCCTTCTCTACTGCCGTAACCTTCTTCCTCTGCCCGGCTTTAGTCTGCGATCCGAAATGACTTGAAGGCCTGAAAGCAAGTGTTTATGATTTCATCCATGATTGGGCCAACAAAACATCATCCCCGAATTCACACATTTAGGGGCTATTTGGAAGCAGCATTTGAGTAGAATTTAAGCAGTATTTAACCTAAATCCGGCCAAACAGTAAAAATGACAAAAAAAAATAAAAATAAAAATAAATCCTTCAGGATCTTAAATCCCATTTCTCTTTGTTTTGGCTTAAATCCCGGTTCTATTAAATTCGGTGGAAAAACGGACTTACGGGATTTAAAGGAGCTGATGTGCGCAAAGGGGGGAGGAAGAGGGCAAAAGATGGAAGTTACAGAGGTCTTAACTATTGTCCATTTTGTGCCTAGTTATATCAAAGTATGCATTGATGCAAATTATAATTTTGAGCGGTTCGTGTTATTCGTAATAACTAGAAGTCTTAAAATTTTCTTTCTGGCAATAACCTAAGAGTAGGTTGGCAATTATGGTTCTTTATTAAGGATACTGGCTATAGGAATAGATCACATTATACAAATTCAACCAGGAATAGGAAAATCTAAGTTAACGTAAAAGTTGTATGAAAAAGTTTACGGAATTAGATAATAAGGTCGTGCATAACCATGATAAAATCATAAGGTATAATAAAAATTTATGGATAAAGTGGGAGGATGAAATTGAAGGGGGGCTAAAATTGGGCTAGATATACTAGTGATTGAACCAATTTTTTAATCAAAATTTCAGTGGCCAAATACTTTTTTGAGATACAAAGCGCAGGAGGAAATGTACGCTTGCTTTAGAGTGTCAATGAGCATGCACTAGAAAGTTTTTTATGAAGGGATCCTTTCAAATCTTTGAGTTTTCTTAAATATATTCATTATTGAGTCTCTCCAAACATTTGAATTTATGTCGGGCAAGTTTACTATGGAAACTATACATTTATTGAGAGGTTCAACAGAGAAGTACAAAGTGGGTAAGGAGGATCTACATATGATTTTTATTTTTTTAGAAAACGCTTATGATAAGGTTCTTAGAGAAGTCCTTTGGGAGTTCTAGAAAAGAAAGGTGTTGATATGACTTATATTCAAGTTGCTAAAGATATGTATATTAGTGCTGATGCTTGTGTTCGAACAGAAGCAGGATTAACCAAGTATTTTTTTATTTCAGTTGGATTACATCAGGGATTGACTTTTAACCCATATCTTTTTGCTTTAGTTATGGATGCTCTTGCTGGACATTTATAGGAGGATATACCTTGGTTTATGCTTTTCGCCGATGATATCCTTCTTGTGGATAATACTAGAGAAATAGTTCAGGAAATATTTGAATTAGGGAGGTCTGCATTGGAGTCTAAAGACCTTCATTTGAGTATATCTAAAACTAAATATATGGAATGTAATCTTAATAGTAGTGGCTCTAGTGGCAGCGTTTTAACTATGAGTGATTAAATTATTAAAAGGTGGGAACGTTTTAGATATCTCGAGTATATTGTTCAAAGTGATGGTGATATAGATGAGGATGTTATTAGTAGAATTCAAGTTGGTTGGTTGAAGTGGAGAAATGCATCGGGTCTATTGTGTGATAAAAAAAGTGCCACTTAGGGGCCGTTTGGTTAGGTGAATTAGTGATGTACTGTAATTCTTTTGTAGGGATTTGAGAAAATTATGTGTTTAATTTGAAAATTTATAAAAATAATGTAAAGTTTTAATGAATTTGAATTTTACACTATGGTTCATTTTGAATGAATTTAGAATTCGACAAATTTGACCGAATTTAAAATTCTTGTAGAGTGTTATGGACAAGTCCCTACAGCCTGATGCCTGCCGCCGCCGCAGCTTGCGCCGCTGCCCGCCCGCCCGCCTCCCACTGCTGTCCGCCCGCCCAGCCTTTGCCTGCCACCTCTGTCGCCATCCCCGAAACAATCGTTGCCCGCCGTAGCCCGCCACCACCCTTGCCTCCCGCCACCGCCGACCCCACCGTTTTCTGCCATCGTTGCCTTCTCCAGCCATCGTTGCTACCTGCCGCCACCACACGCCGCCTCCACCACTCGTTGTCGTTGTCATCTGCTGCCGTCCATTGTTGCCGGTTGTCGGTTGTTGCCACTGTCGCCGTTATCGCAGCCACCACTCGTTAACTGTCGCGCCCTACCTTTTGCCCAAGTAAATACACAATTTTCAATCGTTTTCAATCAACTTCAAACCAAGCAAAAAAAAATTAATTCCTACATTTTTTTTCCTTCTCGAAAATATTTCAAATATATTGTAATCATAGTACTATTACATTGTACTTCATTTTTAGCAAACCAAACGACCCCTTAGACTTAAAGATAAATTTTATAAGATGGTGGTGGGACCTGCAATGCTTTTTGGTGTAGAATGTTGGCCTTTAAAATAGAAGCATAAAATAAAGTTAAGTGTTGTTGAGATCAAAATGCTTAGGTGGATGATTGGCTTGACACTTGGAGACAAAATGTGAAACGAATCTACCATGAAAGGGTTGTTGTAGCTCCCGTGGTAGACAAAATTAGAGAGAGGCATCTTAGATTGTTTGAGCACATTAAATGTTGACCATATGATGATCCGGTTAGGAGAGTAGATATTTTAGATTCTATTTATGTTAAGAAAGGCAGAGGACAACCTAGAAAGAATTGGGCATATTGTATAAAAAATGATCTTAATCCAGTAGAATTAAATAAAAATATGACATTCAATAGGACACAAGGAGGAAAATGATTCATGTAGCCGACTCCACTTAGTGGGATAAAGACTTGTTATTATTATTGTTGTGAGGCTCCTTTTCTTTTTCCCTCACTACTGTTCGTTATGCTTGAGATTGAGATCTCTGTTGGCCTCTTTAGTTACGTCATTTTCGGCTTAGTAGTTTATCATTCAGTTTCCATAAATTCTATTCGGTGTATTTTCGTGTATCACAATAGGTTCACCATAAAGTATCTTTATTATCCCTACATGATTGTTTTTATTGTCTTTTTCTAAGAATTTGAACAGGTCCTTTTTCCCCATTTCTTTCATAGGGGTCAAGGTTAGTTACTAATTATGAAAGATCTTATGTTTGAGGTTCAAGATTATGCCCTTGTTACTTTCTTCTGTATGGATTAGAGAAATTGTCTTATGTCTAATAAGTATGTGAACTCTTAACACAATCAAATATGGGATTGAATGTTGCTAGAAAATCAAATATTATGGGATTCTATAAAATCTTTTTGAGTTTTTAGTATTTTCATTATCGAGGCATCTTTTCTTTTTCCCTCAAATCCACCGTACCTCCCTCCTGCCACCCTCAAGCAGTCGCCAACCCCTTTTTGACCACCACCCGTCCCCATTTCCTAGATGGTCGTTTATGTACTTTGTATTGTTTTCTATTTTATATTTTTGCAGTGTCGTCTTGTCCTTTCAGTTTGTATATTTGTTGTAGCTTATTTCATGTTCGCAAGAGTCTCGTTTGCATCCTTTTGAATTCTGTAATAATAATTGTGCTTTTCATGGTGGTTGGGCTTCCTGGTATCATCAGTTCTTGCTTATTTTTCACTACATTAAGGTCTTGTCAAGCAACATTGATACTAGGGAATGCTTTAGCATTTTTAAGCATCAAAAAGTAATTTATTTCAAAAATGATATTAATATTGCCTTTCTTTGTAAACCTTACGTTAGCTCAACATATTTTTTATTCAGGTTTGGGACAAACAACAAGAATATTTTAATTGAATTTTGGCTTATGAAAAAATGTATTTATATGCTTTGCTTCATTATGTTCCATTCCATCTTCTTTAAAAATGTAATGAGTTTAGAATAGATTATTTGAGTTTCTTAACAATTTTGTCTGTAATTAGAATAATAATGCACGGGAACTTTGAACTGAGTTATGGCGTTATTACTTGAGCAAGTTAAATCTGGTGCAGTGTGATATGCATCTTATATGTTCCGGTTGAATATCTAAAATTACGAGGCATATTTTTGTTACCATAGCTTGCCCTAGATACCACATGCAACTCCTGATTTGGATTCATCGACATGATTTTGATGCACTTTTGAATATTTGTTTTACATCTGAAGCATTTCAAACAATTTTATACTAGTGCATTACCTTTAGCCAATAAATTTTTTTTTCGTGCAATTTATTTCTTCTATAATTTGTGCTTTTGTAGGGTGGATTACCCCGTTCTAGCAACAATCTTGTCCTACCTTCCAAAATTAAAGAATGGGCTGCTGATGATCTGAGTAAGACAATTTCATGGTTAGAAAGTCGAGATGAGAAGGTAAATTGTTGACTATTTTCAGTTCAAAATTTTTTAGTTTGTCTTTTAATGTAATACACACTCAGATTGCTAATTGAGGTACGCAGCATTAGAACTGACTAAATACTCCTAGTCTTTTCTGCTCTGTACGTTGAGGCTGTTTAGTTACCTGATCGCTGCTTCAAGGAGACGACTTTCTTTTAGTTGATTATCATCTTTTTCTTCTTCATTTTTGGTCAACAGCCAGAGGCCAAGAAGATTAAGCTTATTGCTGCAGAAGGAATTATGACTTGCTTGCAGGATGCTATAGACTCTCTCAAACAAAATAAAGTAAGCGTTTTCCTTCTTTGTAGCTATCTTGTTCTATACGGCATGATGTTATAATAAGTAATTAGATTCTTCAAATAAAAAAGGTTGCGGTGACCCGGTCTTCTCAGCTCCTATAATTAAAGTTTGTTTTGGAGTTGAATGAATTCAAAATTAAAATTTTACAAATTCTCCAGTGATGACACGGAAGTGCTATTGTCTTGACTTTTAGAGAGATTTACTTGTGAATTTTCTTTTTGGAAGGATTAAACCAAGATGATCTTATGTGAAAACAATGCAGAAACGTTTAAATTCACAGAATAACAATCAAACACAAAAGATTTATATGGTTCGGCGTTGAATCTACACCCATGGGGATGGAGATTTTACCAGCACTGGATAAGGAGTAAGAAAAAAGGCTAGGATTTACCACTACTGTACTTCTTATCATAACTCTCACGGATCCTATGACCCTTTTATAGAGGAGGATTGAGGCATAGAAGTAAATAAAACCAAAAGATTAAATTATCCCTAATTACAAAACGAAATCATAAATATAACAATGTTCACCTCATCTTTTATTTTCAGATAAGCAAGAGGTGACCAAAATGAGCTCTAAAATTCAGTTCAGATGCACCAAGATGATTACCTGTGTACCCCTCCTGATGGAATAAATACAATTTTTCCTCTACTACGCTATTTTTCTTTATTTTTGTCTTGGAACTCCCCCTGTTTCCAAAAACCTGTTATTATTCTTTGTTAATGACATTGTCACTTCTTAAGCCCGCTCTCTAATCCTTATTTATTTTAACAAGCTATATATATTCTCTATATTTTTATTTCAGAACATCAAAACTGTGACAGAGCAGTGGATGTTCGTCCCTCATATTGTCACATACCTAGCAGAACTTGAGGGCAGTAACCTTCCAAAGAGAGAGCTCCATGAACTGGCTGATTCATGCAAAAAGATTTACAAGAGCGAGTTCAAACAACTAAACAGTTCTGCAAAATTCGAAAAGTATAAAAATGAAGGTGGTGAGGAATACAGTGATGAAACAGATGATGAAGGGTTTGACAGCGATCGGACAATAGAAATGACCGAAGAAGAAATAGAGTTTGCCTGCAAACAAATTGGTTGCCAGTAAGCTTCATGAATTATGACTCGTATGACCGTTAAATCATGTCTGCTTATTATGATTTAAGATTCCTTTTTTGCCTTTGTCCAGGTAAATGCTGTTTAGCTGATTATGTTGGAAACTTATTTCTCTGTAACATATCTGCCTACCATTTGAGTTTTGCATTTTGTGTAATGTAATGATGCACTTGATTTGAAGTTCAAGTGTATTAACCTTTTTTATTTCTCGGTTCAGTGCTTCAGGGCTTCAGGTATATATTTTTTTTCTTTTTTTGGAACATTCACATGCATATCATTTAATTCCTATGTATTTACATAACTAACACCTAAACTTCAATTTTTTTTACTTATATCACACCATGGCCATGCATGAAAAGATGTATTTCACTTTTTATAATATAAAATAGTGATATTTTTTTTACGTGATATGAAAGATTGGTTTGGCATAAATGTAAAGAAAATAAAGTTTAGGTGTTAGCTATGTAAATACATAGGAATTGGGTGGTATGTATGTACATGCCCTTTTTTCTTAATGTTAATTTCAAGTATTGTTGGCTAAAATCTGCTGCAATTCTTCAAATAGTTTGACTTGCTTTTGTTTCGTCTTGGTCTACCATTTCGAAGTCAGATTATGCTCTTAGGATTTGGGGCTGTTGTAAAATACCTATAGAACTCTTTAAAAATGAAAAATGGATCATTTGAAAAGCAAGACAGGATTTACATCCATAGCACAAAATTCATATGTAACTCCTAAATTTTTATGTTTATTTATGTGCCACTTTAATGTCCAGCTGACACCAAAGCATATATATATATATATATAGAGAGAGAGAGAGAGAGAGAGAGAGAGAATATGTGCTTTACTTCAAATAAGTTGGTGATATTTTTAATGTAATCTAGATGGGTATGTGTGTTATATAGGTAAATAGAAAGATTTAGATATGAAAAGTATGTATAAATTGGTAGCTGTTTGCAAAACAAAGCAGACAAAAAAAATTACTTGATTTTGGTGTTATGTTTTAAGCTGATGAAGCTTCTATGAGCAGTACAGTTAAATTTTGGTTGGTTTGGTTAAAAAAATTTTGGAAGAATAAAAGTATTGTAAGTGGAGCACTATGGGAGAATGTGATTTGCATCAAATTTACATCAGATGGCATGGTCTCAAAAGCAAGATAGGGAGGTATTGAAAGCTAAGACGTGCATATAATTTAATGATAATTATCTTTTTGTGCTAATTTGTCTTGCTTTGTTAAATCATGTTTGCTTTTTTACCCTTTTCTTATATTTCAAGCGTGTTATTGTTGTTCTGTAGTAATTTTTTTTTCTATTTATTTTTGGACATTTACAAGCATGCCACTCATTTCTTATATATATTTTTTTACATTTATATCACATAAAAAATTATCACCATTTTAACTGTTAAAAAAAATGATAATACACCTCTTCATGCATGGGTAAGATGGCTTGCATTAGAAACTTGAAGTTTAGGTGTTTTGATATGTGAATATATTGGAATTGAGTGGTATATATGTTAATCTATCTATTTATATGTGTCTTAAAATTAATTAAGAGATTCAGATATATGAGGTGAGAATGGCTTAGAAAATATAAGAGAGTTGTTATTGGTTAAGTATAGAGGTAAATATGATTTACCCTTTAAAATCTTTAAGAATTATTTATGAGTTTATTATTTTGATCCTTTCACCATTTTTATGTGTTGCTTGTTTTCTTGCTGTTTTTAAGAATTTTAATTTACTCATCTAATCAAGTTATGATAGCTATGCAAAAAAAATAATGACACAATTGTCACAATAATCTAGTTATTTAATTAGCCAAATTGTTATTATATATAATTTTTCTTAAGAGGAAAATTTACAAACATAAAACATATTTTTTATATATTTACAGTGACACCTAAAGTTTGATACTTATATTAAAAATATTTTGATTTTATTATGCCTGAAAAATATGTATTTCATTTTTAGAAAGTTAATAAAAGTGATAATTTTGACTTGTTATTTGAGTGTTATGCATGTAAATATCAAATTTTAGGTGTTGGATATCTAGATATATAAGATTTTATGATATATATGTAAATGCCCCTTTCTAATAATGTTAGAAGCCAATACACTAATTAAATAGCTTCTTAAAAAAATTAGTATTTTTTTCTCGGATTTTTAATGCATTTATTACTATATTTTTTTTAGGATTCACTCTCATTTCCTTTCTTTTAAGAGAAAAAGTATTATATGAGTAGTTCTGATACAGAAATGCATCAAGATTCCAATGAAATTGAGTCACGTCGCAGTTTATTATATGGTCTGCCTCCTCTAGACACACGATGGAATTTCATTAAAGTCCTGATACATTTTTGCACCAGGACTCCTTATGTAATATTTTTTTTCCTTCTATGAGCTTATGGGCTTTTTCTCAACCTCTCACCTCTCTCATTTGAAAAAGGACATGGTGCATGAATCAATTATTACAAAAACATTTTAAAAAATATGACATTTTATGGATTAAACCTGCAATATTAAGATTTTTTTTTGTAAGATTTACAAACATACCACTCAATTTTTATGTACTTGCATCTATCATCTAAACTTCAATTTATATATACATTTCATCTTGTCTATATATGACAATGTGTATTTTCATTTTTTTTAATGTTAAAATAATGATATTTTTTATGTATCATGAATAAGAAAAAGTAAAATATAAGCGCTAGATATGTAAAAACATAATTTAATTTTGTGAGAAAAGTTTCAAGAATTCACTCCTAACTGTAACGCTTATTTTATTTTGCTGCAACATCATGGAGGGGGGCATGATGATGCATTAGAAACTCTTACTTTAATGCTGGTTGAAGTACTAAGACTTTGTATTTATTATTGTAATCATTTAAAATTTATTTATTTACAACAATATCAATATGATATTATGATATTGTTAGCTTATCGAATTATTTAATATGATTCATATATGTGGCAAGTACAATGATGAATATATATATATATG